CACGTGACCTTGCCTCGACGCTGCTGAATTCACCACGTCCAGCAAAATTAAGCCCTATGTGTCACTTTCACAAGTTTACAATCAATCAATCAGCTTCCTTCTCTGCAGAGCTGCTGAAAGCCCTTGAGAGAAAGTCCTTTCTTCCACCAGTCAGTTTGAAGATGATCTCACATTTTGCCTATGCTTTTTGTAACTGAAAACAAGGGCTATGTCCAAATACTGTACATAACCTTGCAGTAGAAAAATAAAAAATCCCGAACAGTTACAGAGTGGTTTTAACAACAAAAATGATTTATCAACAATGGCTCAATTTTTGAACTTTTTATACCCCAGTTAAGGAATACTAGCAAAACATTCTCCAGCAGTTCTTTAATTCAAACAAAATATTATAAAAGAGAATCATATAAAGCAATATCAACCTTTTTAAAGTATAGGCTGCAGGTAAATTAAATTTAAATGTGAAACATAGACCTGTAAGCAAAGTTCATTTTGAATTAGAACTTAACAAGACTAAAAACAACAAACAAACAAAAATAAAAATTAGGCATCAATGCTACAGCCAGGCACCACTGTAAGTCAATATCACCTTTACAAAGTTAGTAGCTAAATTTGCATTTAGCTACTAACACGAGCTCTGCTTTTAAGTGTTCCCTTCATTCTTTTTTACAAATCACCACAATGAAGCAGTATGCCACTGAGTTGACCACTGTAATTATTTCATAAGAATAATAAAGACATAAGAGCACTTATAAACAAGATGAGGCCATTCAGTTCATCTAGCGTTTGATAGTTAGTATCTAACTGATCCAAGGATCTCATCCAGCCATTTCTTGAAAGAAGCCAGCATATCAGTTTGAATGGCATAGCTAGGTAGCTTGTTCCATACTCCAACAACCCTATGGGCAAAGACATGCAGCTGTTCTCAGTATAAAATGCACTTCCACTTCTGCTTGTGTCCTCTAGCTCATGTTTCACTGTTCATTCTTCAAAAGTCCTCCGGGCTGACTTTGTCAGTGCCCTTGAGGATTATGAACACTTGTATTAAGACTCCATGCAAGATTGTCTGTTCAAGGCAACACCTTCAGCCCATCAGCCCAACAGAGCCAAAATATACACCTTTCAGATCAAATTGAATTTGATTTTTCCATATAAAATGCCATTCTTATGATTTGCATAGGGAAGAAGTGAGAGGTTAGATTGGACGTTAGATTGCGTGTTAAAATAATGACACTTCGGGAAGGTGAGATGGTATTTTAGTATAGATTAAACACGAGTGTATTGAAAATAAAATCAGTTTAGAGGTTTAGTGAAGATGTTTCTACACTAATTCAGCACTAATTGTATCTGTTATTGTATATAGTATGCTATTTGTCACTGGGGAGTTGTGTTAAAGACAACCTGATTTGAATATATAGCTCAAAAACACAATTCACATATACATAATATTTCTTTATTGATTTTGAAGGTATGATGGTACAAAGCCCCTGCTTCTAAGAAACTAGAACAGACAGGGAACAATTTTACACTTTAGAAAGCGCAAAACCAGCCTCTAGTCACATTTATGCTGAACTCTGGTTTTCATTGATCCTGTGTAATAAAAGTTAGGGAGGGAAGGAGGAAGCAGTAGAACTATGAGCCCTCAAGGTAAGGAAAGCTAATGAGTTGGAACTACATTTAACAGCAGGCTCCACCAGTGTGTCACAGCTTGTCAGTTCTGTGGAATAAAGCCAGTCTGGGAAAACTGAAGTGTCTGAGTTCTGTCCTTCCTGTGACCACCCTCCAACCATCAATGATTTGAGAATGTGCTGGTAGAACAGACCTACATTTAAACACACAGATGAATCACCAAAACTGGCAAGTTCTGAAATTGTTTGCTTTACTGAAATAGCCAGCGATAGAATAAAATAAGCCATGGTTACATCACTTTCTGTTCTGACAGACAGTAACATTTCTAAAGATAAAACCTAACTTGTTATTAATCTCTTTTTTATTTGGAAATCACACAGTAATCGTCATACAGTGCAAAAGCATTCACTAGCTTCCAATAATGTCCGATGTTGTTAAATTACAAAAAGATGCACACAGTTTTTTTTTAAAAGTCCACCTTGACACCATCTTGAAATGAAGAAGGAAACACCAACAAGGCAACAAAAACATTAAAAAAACATCCAAAGTCCAAACAGAAGGCAACCCAGTAACTGAATGCAGGACCCAAGAACTGCAAGGCTGCACCACTTAAATATTTTTGGTGACCCACAATTCCAATTATTGGTGGAAGATCTGCAAAAATCAGACCAAATTTTTTTTGCATTTTGCCACTATTGGCTGTGTTCCTCGGCTGTTATAAATGTATTCTTCATGTGGCATATTTGAAAAAAAATCAATATAAGGAGACAACCAATAATGTCTGCTTTTATATTTTTCAGTTTTCTTCAGATCGATTTCTTAAGTCCAGCAAATAGATGCTAGTGAATATCTTCCATAAGAGTGCCCTTACAAAATGTGTGCGCGATTTTGGGGTATAAGGCTCTCTGACTAAGCATTTCTAAGATCCAAGCTCTGTTTTAATCACCTCAGTCCCTTTCTCTCTGCACACATACAACTATTCAGCAGACCATTTCAGTCATGCTCATTTGGAGTGACATTTTCTGCAGCTAACATGTTTACCACATAATCGCCAGGGAATTCTATTTTCAAAATACAAGACATCATAATCCAACAGTGCTAGAGATTGGTCTGTGGGCCCTGGATTTACTGGTCACATGTACTTCAGAAAAATATGACAAAACAAATATTAATCTACAAGCCAGCTTCCAGGCCCATGGCGATTTGCTTTCAGGTCATTAAAATGATGTTGCACAGCAATCTCCAATTATAATGCTCTACCAAGACATTTATAGTAGCTTTTTATTTTGAAATTGATCCTTTCTCCAAAACACGCCCGGCAAGACTGTCAAGCCATCCAGATAGTGGGAGATTTAACTGTTGGTTGACATTAATAAAACAGCTCTGTGGGTCTGTCCTCAACAGGGTTTGTTTAGACATCTGTTAAGTCGATAGGCTGCCATGAGCTCCCCTTCATCCTGTATTCGTTATCTGTTCCCTCAAATTAGGTGCAACTACTAATTAAAATGCAAACAAAATGACCGAAACGGATTTGCGACTGATTTTTCACAGACCATAGCCCTCATGGGAAAATGCTTGATTAGAAATGAAATACTCAGTACCTTGTTTATAGTACCGGTCTGTAGCCATATCACTGTTTCATGTATAAACGGTCAGATCACAGATTAAAGAGCGGTCTGGTCTGTATAATAATATGGTTACAGCCTTGATTGGAAAGCGGGGAAAAAAAGATCACTCCTTGTTTTATATGTTGGCGTAAAAAAGACAAAAACCAAAAATACAATTTTCCTGTTGAACATAAAATGAAGACTCTCCACTTCTTAGGCTGATTTGTCTCATGGAGTTTCCATCTGTGCTCCAAACGCATACAAAATCTCAATAAAAAAAACACAAAACTACATTCTAAACCCAGCAATCTAAGGAGACAGTTCATCAAAAAATGAGGAAGAACATCTTTAATTTTCCTCTGTAAAACACAACAAATACATACAAGCAGAAAACCTTCTGAGTAACTCATTTACTAAACTACTCATGGTTAACCCAGGCTGAGCCCTGTAGACATCAGATGAGAACAGACAATAGGAACTTCCAGACGCCTGCAAGCTTATAGCCACATCATTGAGAGGCATGCTGCTCCTTCAGCTGAAGCTAGTTCTCATGAAAGGTGACAAGGACATTATAGGTGTCCGAAAAAGAGGTAGGTGTGACAGAGGAGAAGGTGTCCATGAGTTGCAGGGATTGTAGATAATTGTTAATTCCAAATTGAGTGGAAACAAAATGAAAAAACAATGTCAAGTAGAAGTATGGGCATTCATTTCAATTTTTCAGGTGTGAAATGTTTCTTTTGTGTGGGAATTCCTTTAAGTATTTTCTAAAAAAATGTTATTCATTTGTAATCCAGCCTTGAAAAAATGTCCTGCTTCTGATTCATGTATTTGAGCTGGATTCAGTCACATGCGTTCAGGAGGAATAGAAGACTAGCACTGAAACAAATGGAAACTAGAGTCGATTTCTTAAAATCTGAGCTTATGAAGTAGATTTGTCACAAGCTGCTGTCACATTTTAACAAGAACTACTGATTCTAATCACTGCTCTCATTGATCCCTATAAACTTCAAAGGGTTATTGATTGGAGCGTGCTGGACCATCTCAGTTTCATCAAATCAAATTTAAATAAACACCACAGCACCAGAATCAGTTTGATTGAGAAGATCAAATCGAATGAACAAGCTGTACTTATCCAAAGTATTAGGCACTAGTATGTTAGATTCATTTGGCACAACAGCACAATCCAAAAAGTGAACATAAGAAATGACAGCATAAAAATACTTTTTTTCATAATATTAATATTTCATAATATTTTTCACTTGAACACGTTATGTGATGGTGTATGATGGTGTTGGTAGACCAGTAGGTGGCTCTCTTCTCCCTGAATTTCCAAATCAGTGCCACAGTATGGTGAATGGGAGCACTGTGCCATAGGATGGCACATTGATGAGACATTCAAAAAAGGTTCTGACTACTTAGTATTTGAAGATCTCATGGCATTGTTTGTAAAATCAGGGGTATTAACTTTGGGGTCCTGTCTTAATTCCACTTTGGGCTTGAACAATGTGGCTCCCTAGAGCTCCCATTTAAGTGTTGAAGTAATGTTCATGTCTCAACCTGATGTAATGTTTTGGCTTTGGCATGATACCAGGGTGGGGACTGCACTTCAGTTGTGGATGAATTGGGTTTGTCCCTATACATGAAGCTATTTGGGATGTTTACTATGAAAAGTGTTATACAAACACAATCAATTGTTATTCATTATTATTGGTAAGAATACACATAGTTCTTTTAGAAGCACAAGCTGATAAAGAGCTGAATACTCACAAGGCACAGCATGGCGATAAAGGTTATTTCTGATGGTTTGCTGTAGCTCATGGTCTGCAGATGACTTCTGAAACCTTTGACTTAGATATTGCTTGAGATCCTTATTGAGTCTGCTTCCTGGAAAAAAAATAAGGCATATCTGTTAAAACATTATGAATTTGCCTGGAAGAATACAGAGGACTGTTCAAAACTTTGAATGGATCAATTATTCAGGCATAAAACAATAAGGCAGTAAAATATTGTTCACAGTGAAGTTTTTAATTATTTTTTTCCAAAAACAATCTTGGAGAACAATATTTGAATTTGAAACAATCATGCTTTTAAAAATCATTTTGCTAATCAAAACAAATCGGACTATAAGAGGTATGAGATTTGATAAATTACCGAACAAGCCACTAACTAGAGAGATGTTGTCGGTAGCATTTAGATTTGAGCCTGTGAAATCAGAAAATTAAAATTGTTTTAAAGGAATATTGTCTAATAATCTTCATAGGGTTGTCCAAACACTTGCTGAAATTGTCAATACAAAATAATTTCATTTATTTAAACATCCATGATTTGACTGCTTTGCTTGTAGGAAAACAGTGAATGTTATAGGAATATTATTTAAAATCTCATACACTCCTAAAGTTAAACATTTTACATGTTCATAATTTACTGAGAGGTAAATTGTATCTGTACCTGTTTTGTTCTTCCTGTTAAATGTACAGTCCTAGTTGCCTTTCCAGCACGATTTATATATAAGAAATTAGGATAAACTTTTATCTTTAAAATTACACCATGTATAGCAGCTACAATAAAGCCATATTGGATGGACTTTTTAAGGCCTCATAAATATGAGGAGAGCCACCACAATGTCCATTAACAGCCATATAGCCCTCACCATTTTATTCCCGAGATATTCTTTTAGGCAATGTAAAATCCTTGAAAATTAGAGATAATTAACATAAACCCTTACATACGGGAAAATATAGGGTACCTATTTGTTTTTTGTTGAGTGACCTAAAATGATCTTTAACAATATTAATGTTCATCTATATCATATTTTACTGCAATGCCAGCAGTACAGTTTCAATGTGTTGAAGAACTAATAAAAAATATGAAACAAACTGAAGACACGTAGCAGACCATTATTTGCTGAACTGACAACATGCCTTAAGAAATTCACTTTTTGTGTAAGCCCCACACTCCATGAAGAATACTTCATTGTCTAGATTGACTAAATATACTGACATGGCACAATGAAGATCCAAAGCACTACTTTTTAAATGCTGATGTGTGAGACAAACTGGGCATTTTGACTCAAGACTTTGAAGAGCAGGAAACAGGGGAAAAAAGAATAATGCAAGTTAAACCACCAATAATCATAATGGCTGCATCTGAACATGACTACCTAACCTACGACCACTAAAAAGGTGCATGAAATACATAAAGAAAGTGTAGTTATAGGCTGAAGTGAATTTTACCTTAGCTACTAGGTGTGGATTGGTTATAATTTAAAGTGAAGAAGTAGTGCATGTCAAATCAGGTGATGAAAATAAATCAGGCGCTCTTTTATATGTCCTTGTTTAATCTTTGCCTATAAAACACTTGTTGGACTATTAACCTTAAATATCTCCCTAAATACCACAATATATTTTTTTAAATGTCAGTAGTATTCCCTCTGCACTTAACAGAGTGGTAAATTACTCATCTGAATTATGGTGCATATTCCTTGAGTTTGATGGTACATCTCCAGAATACAAAGAATTAAGAGCCATGATATTTCTCCCTCATTAAATGTCACAGTGTGCACATTTACTGAATTCCCACACAATAGCAAAACCCAAAATCTTAGAGGTTTGTTTACACATTTTATTATGTTCTTGGATTACAAATGATAAAATTGTACGGTTTCACGTGCTGTGATCAAGAGCTCAGAAATATTTATAATAAGCTTTAGAGCACTCAACTGATGCCGCAAATCAGGACCCATTTAGAAATCCTGTGTTTCTCAGAAGCTCATTAGTATGCTTGTGCTGACAGGGATGTTAAGCAACATCTCATTTTATATCGCAACTGATCTGATTGACCTGAAATTCAACAATCAAACCTGTTTGACTTCAGCAGTAGGCTGTCTATAGAGCCACGTAATTAATTCCAGAATACCACAAATGGGGAAAGCTACAAATACAGCAAGTATCCTACCAATCACAAATTCCTAATTAGCTTTTTAGCTCTCAGTGTGTAATTTAATCCTTAGCTTCATCATAGAAAAAGCTGCACAAGGGACCAGATTTGCCAAAGCTTTTGCTCCATTTCAGAGCTTGCATCACATTAATCTTCAATAATGGGTTCATGGAGCCTAGTTGCTGTAGTGTCTTGGTTCACCTCTTTTAGGCTTTCCGCAGCAATGTAGTTTGGTGGCTCTGGCTCAACCTAGCTTCACCTCACTTTAAGAATTCTCCTCTCAAGAGGATCACAAACATGTGACACCTTCAAAAGGCAGGCCATGCATTGACTGGATGGCAACATAATAAGAAGTCTTCAGGCCTCCAGAACATCAAAACTCTCTGAAGTATAGAATCCCACCTTGGGAAAAAAATTAAAAAGGATGGGTGTGTGTGTTACTTTTGGAATATAGAGGATTAGGATTGTGTGAGATGCTCCTGAAAGTTCGGCTCATGAAGCCATTTTGGTACAGAAAACTGTCCTTGTTTTACTATACAGTGTAAAAGGCTTAACTGACTTAACCATATTTACTATTTATCTGTTAGGATTTCATGCACTTGGATCAGATTTGCTCTTTGTTCTTGACTGAAGAGATCCTTTACATTGTTGGTATAGTATATTCCCCTGAGACCAGAAATCATTACTGTTGTTCTTATCTGAGCCCTATAACATCCTTCTTATGGTTTTGTGAGCAAAACTGGATGCAATATTCTAAATAAGGTTAGTGTGGTGCATTGTAAAGCTTGAATATAACTTCCTTTAGTTCAAATTGCTTATTTTCTTATTCCCAAGAAGTCTATTGGGATTTTTACTGCTTCCCCACATTATCTTGATGAGGATAGAAGAATCCACATAAAAACAAAGATTGATTGCATGTGTAGATTCCTGCAGTTCTTAATCACATCTCTGCCCCATGTAGAAAATTATTACTACTTTACACATGTGCAAATTAAATTAAATGTATCAAGTGCCTGGCCAAAGCTTTTGTGATTCTCTTGCTACAGTCTTTCCACTCCCTCTATTTTTTGATATTCAGATTTATCTAGTTTCACCCATTTTAAATAAAAAAAACAAATAAACAAGGATTAACAAAAGTATACAAAGAAAACTCCTTCTGTTCCAGAGTTAGGACAGACTACATCTACAGAATAAACCCCAAACTTGTAAGAAACACACCCTTGGCAAGCCCTGGAAATCAGGTTTAAGAAAGCAATGTATTTTGAATTAAGCGTTGCTTGAAAATAATAAAAACATTCTTTCAAGAGCTTGATTCGCCTCTGATAATTATGTCTGAAGGTTTTCATTTAGAGTCAGAACGGTACCTGATTCTTTGATATAGAGAATAGATAATTGTAAGACAGATATGTGCATAATTTGCCACCCATGGCTTGTGCCATCTGCTTCTCAGATCCAGACTATCTAGAAATGTAATATCCATTATATACTTTTTTGTTGAGATGCCAAAAGCAGTCACACAGGATGGGCCATATCACCATGAGACCCTGAGAGCATCTGTACTTTCTCATGTATAGTGACATACTGTACACACCTTAACACCTTACATAGAAGGAGAGTATCACCAGCTACCATCCACCAAATTGACAATTAATGGCTCCTTGTAAAAATGGGTGAATAAAATTGTGTGACATTACGCGGAGCCCTGGTAGAAGGGTGATGCCTCGCCTTTGTAGTCCCAGCTGTCTTGGCTTCTAGTTGATGAGCCCCAGCTGGGTGGGTCCTGTAAAGGCACACTGGACACCCCCCGACGGGACGAGCAGGGCCACCCCAGAAGGGGGAGTTTGACACCGACAGTCCCAGAGGGGATTGCACCCGAGTAAAGTTTTCTTTTTCTTTCCTTTTTTATTTTTTGCCTGTCCCATCACTCACTTCCACCGGGACAGGCCCACACACACATTTTTTTACACACTAAGTTCTTGTACTGTTTTTGCCTTACGCGCCCTACTCTCCAGATTGGACCCCGCTAAATAGGGTAAGTCCAGTCTGGTCGCTGCTGTGCTTGCGGCTCTTTTTTTCCCAGGCCAGACCCCTTTAAATAGGGTAAGCCCAGCCTGGAGGTTACGAGGCACGGCGGTACACTTCCGTCTTCTCACCCGGGGTGTTGACTTTTTACCGGTGCTCGCTGCGCCTCCCACTATACACTGTCACAGTTGTAACAGAAGATATTGGAACGCATACGGACGACATTAGAGGTTGTGCAAGCCGGCTTACCAGTGCAGTGACGTCACCGCCCTTCCCTGTGAATAGCAGGGACCACAGCCGTCGGGCTGACGGGAGAATTCCATTTAGCTCAACTGGCTGGGTCTCTGTTGAGTGATGCCGGAGGCCCGGGTTCGAGTCCCCAGCGGTGGGGGGGCCGACCTGGGGTGGCAGCGGCGAGGGTGCATACCCTGTGAACCCGAGAGCGCTACAATATCCACACTAAGAAGTTTTTGTTTTGACCAAATTATCACATAATGGAGTTGTGTAGCAGTAAATGCAGGAGATGGAGCTACTGGAGGGGGTTACCCAGAAACAGTGAAATCTGAAAACTATATAAAACATTGACATAAAGGAAAATAAATATAAACTGTTTTTTCTAAAAAACTACTTATTAAAAATAAGCCACATCCTCTGAAAGAGCAGTGCCACCAAGGATGAATATAAACAGCTACAGCATATATTATGGAATGACATTTATTAGGTAACTCCAAGTAGGATGCAAATCATTGTTTTAATATATTGGTTAAAATAATGCTGTTTCAGCACTTAATTGATTACAACAAGGTAATACATTTCACTTCCCTGATGTGGCTGATGACCAGAGTGCTTTGGCTTAAACCTTTAGTTGACACGTGTGTCAATACAACCAAACAGGTTCTTAAACCTAAATATTTGCTAAATTTATT